AGATGTTACAGGGAGAGAAGAAGGAGTGCACGGTTTCGTTTACAAATGAGGACTATGTAATTAAAGCGGAGAGGAAGGAAAAGCCAGCAGTTTCGGAGTTAGGAGGAGAACGTTCTTCTTCTTCTTTCGAGCCAACTGTTAGGCAAAGTAAGCGGACAATTCTTTTTTAGAAAACATTTGTGTTCCTTGAAAATTTTCTTATTGCTTCTTTTTTCGTTTTTTTTTTTTTTTTTGTATCCTTTTTGTTTCTTTTTTCTTTTTGTCTTTTTTTCCTTTTTTTTGGAGAAAACTCTGAGAGACCCTTTTATATTAACCCTTTGAACTCGTATGTCCCATCCGAAGCGACTATAACAATAATAATAATAATAATAATAATAATAATAATGTTACCGTTGCGCAGCATATATATTTCTCAGTCGATTATTTTTATTTATTATCATCTCCAACTCTGTTTCCAAAGATTATTATACGAAATAGAAATCGGACGACTAATTTTTCCAACGAAATCGTATACGAAAAGAATCCCTGTCGATTCTTTTAGAAATAAAAATTAAAACAAAAGAAAAAATTTCGAGTTCAAAGAGTCAATAAGATATTTTTAAGTTCGCGTATTACCGATTTCAAATGATTTTATTCGTACCACGAGAAGAATATGATTAATTTAAATTGTGATAATTAAGTTAAGTAATAATTAAAACAAAAGTGTCTAAGTTAAATTTGAATAGTTGAAACTGGAAGATAAATTGGACACATCAGGTACTCCGTATTGCGACATCGATGAATATATCATTTAAAAGTATTTTTTTTCTTTTGATTTTTATGAAAAATAATCGACTTTTATATAATCGCAAAGTCAAGTATATTTATATGTATTTTTATACAGAGTATCTTTTAAGAAACAATTGGTACGAGCAAACGTTTCGGATGATTCTATATGAAAAATTGAGAAATAAGTCAAAAATGTCAAATAAAATTTGTTCGAACAATAACTATGCTTTCGCGAAGAAAAATATTGTTGAAAATATTTGTCGAATACGTTTTGTACTTGATTAAATATTTCCCTCGATAGATTTTGCAATTTTACTCTCGAATATATTTCGGAAAACATTTGTGTGTTTCTTTATACGTTTACAAACATATTTTCCATTGGTTGTACTCTTTTACCATATCGAACAACGATTTTAGTTTTTCAGAATATGACAGGTTCGGTTAAATGATTACTCGACAAATTTTTTCAATGATTTTTCGTTCGAAAACAAAGTATTATATATGAACAAATTTAATTCTATATTTTCGATTACGTTTTGTTTCTTTTTTCATCTACAATAGAATCATATCCTGCTTGCTTGTACCAACAGTTACAAAACACCCTGTATACGATAAGTTATACGAAATTAACAAATTTCTATCGCTAACGAAAAGATATTTTTATTTTCTTTCCATCGTGTTATTTGTTTGCTTTTTTTTATTTTTTATTTTTTTTTTTAACTACTATCGTTGTGGCAGTGGATAAAGAAATGAAGCTTCGAATGCGGACAGATTTCTAATGGAAATAATACAAAATAATAATTGGATTTTTTTTTCTTTTCTTTTCTTTTCTTTTTTTTTGGTTTTCAATAAAAATTACTCACTCTCGTCGCGAGAGATATTTGATATTTAGATTATATTTAAAAATCGATTTTACGAAATGATTTCATTCTAAGAAAGAAGCCCGAACGATTAGTTTCAATGATTTGCCGATGAATCAATCAACCCTTTGAATGTATGTATATATTTTGTTTTCGTGTGTTATTATCATTTAAATGATCAATAATTGTTCGACGAGTACGAGAGTAGAAATGTTTCTAAACAATTCCGTATATGTTTGAATATGAAAAATTCCATTAGTACTTCTCACAACACTGCATTCCGTGAGTGTATATTAAGTTCGTGTTAGGTGTAATAATCGCGTGTACTAAGGTAAGTGTGTACGTTTGTGTCATCGTGTGTGCGTATATGTGTGTGTGTTAGTGTAGATAAAGTGCAAGTTAAAGAGTGCTGGTCATTACAGTGGAACCAATCGATTATTTCGTCGACTTATATTTTTATTTTTCTTCTTCTTCTTTTTTTTTATTATTATTATTATCATCGTTTTACGGAGGATCCTTTGTAAAGAAATTGTTTTCTTTTTTTTTCTTTTTTCCACACATCGATAATATCTCTATCTCCTAAGTATATCGACACTATCTTTAAATATTAACGCGCGACGTCCATACAAACGATTATAACCTTCCTTCCTTCTTTTTTTTTCTTTTTTTTTTTTTCTTCCAAGTGCATATCTCAGGTGTGAAACTTATCTTTTTTCTTTTTTTAACACTTTCGTTTGCACTCTTTCACGAAGGACAATCGGTCGGTTACACTCGCGATTAGATGACCCACACTCTCTTAACATACTTCGACACTTCTATAATCAGAGTAGGGCATATATTTGTTTAAGTCTTTTGATTGCTTTAGTAATCGGTTAACAAAGTTATTCTCGTGATCGTAATCATTCATTTATAGTATTTAAATAATCTTTTCTTTATAAATTGTGTACCAATTACTATACTTATTGTTAGACATAGTTTTTAATCTGTAATAATAATAACAATAATATAATATCAAAAATTATTATAATTTGTACAAAAAGAATAATACTGAATAATCACGAATCATTAAATTCGATTACTCGGTAATGTTTAATCGGTAAAAATTTGTTTTTTTTTTTTACAACTTTTGCCCAATTCTCTCTCTCTCTCTCTGTTGTGTAGTTTAATTCTTTTTTTTTCTTTTTTTTTTTAAATTATTTCGTGCACGTGTACGTGTGTATCGCGCGAACGTGTGTGAATGCGGTGGCATCCATTCTTTTTTATTTTTTCTATACGCTTTATCTATACACGCAATTTTGTTTTCGCAAGATGATCCTTTCGCATCGATATCGCTTCATGTTAATTTCATTATTTTTTATTCTATATTTTTTTCTTATTTTTCTTTTTTTTTTCTATATGTTTTTATTTAATAAAGAAACAATTCATCAAAGAGATCTTTTGTTGGATCATTTTCGTAGATCACTTTTATAGGATTAAACTAATCATTTTATTCCAAATTTTTGATATTTACAATTATTAAATGCTAAAAGTTTCGTCGGTAATTTTTTTTTTCGAATGTAACAAATATTTATTATATTAATAATGTTTATTGTTTATTAAAAAAAAAAAACCTATAGACTAACGGATATTGTTAACGCGAATTTTCTGATTCGATAATCGTCACGTGACAGGTACACCAATTTTAAATAACGATGAAACGTTTTAATTTGTATATAGAATAAAAATTAGTTTTTTCATTTTATGTGTAAAAACGAACAAATGTTTTATTCATACGAATAGGTACGAAAGGTGCATCTCACGATTATATAATAAACGTATAGCCGTACATACACACATACATATGTATACACACATATATATGTATATATGTATGTTTCGACTCAAATTCGTTTACGAGCTCATCATCAATTGCTATTTATAATCATTTGCGTGTGTGTGACTTAGTACAATGGTTTTTAACTGTATTGCCGCCCCCCAATTTTTTCGCAACTCCATAGTATTTTTCTTTTCGATTAATATCTATACGTTATTATTATTAATTATTTATTATTATTATTATTATTATTATTATTAATTATTATTTATTATTATTATTAGTTATTATTATTATTAATTATTATAATTAATTATTATTATTATTATTATTTTTCGTTTTATTTACTCCTCGAAAATTGTTCCTACAACAATTATCGACCATCACTCCGACAAATTCGCTTTCTTCGTTTCCCTCTTCGTCCTATATCTTTATTTATTTATTTATTTATTTATTAATTTATTTATTTATTTTATTTATATTCAAGGGGGGGGGTGAGTGGATAATTTTTTTTTCTTTTATTTAATTTTTTTTTTTCTCTTCATCATTGATATCTTTTAAAGCTTTGTTTGGCACGTATAATTAGAATGTCATTCAGTACGGAAGAATTCGATTTAGCGCTCTGTTTTTTTTTTTTCTTTCTTTTTCTAATCCTTCATTCTTCATCGCTATCTAAACTAATTTATGTGTGTTTATTTATTTCTTTTTTTTTTTTTTCGTCTTAAAACACGTTCTTCGTCGTTTGCGCTTTATTTCTCATATTATTTCTTTTTTTCATCGTTTCCTTCCTTCCATCACGTAATTACATTTAAAACACTCATTTACAATGATTTATTTTACTTTTTTTTGTTTTCTCCCTTTTCTTTTCTGCGTTAGTGTACGTATGCATGCATGCATGCATGCATGCATATAGGTATGTATGTATATATGTATATATGTATCTATGTATGTATGTATGTGTGTATGTATGCACGTAAACGTGTACGTCGGTATGTTTTATATTTCAATAGCTACGTTTTTTTTTTTTTTTAAATGTACAACGATGAGTGGCGGTTTCGTGTTAATTCTTTCGATTCTTTTTCTTACATTTCACCCTCTCTATCTTTCTCTCTCACTTTTTTCACTCTCTCCTCTACCACGTATTTATTTATTTATTTATTTAATTATTTATTCATTTATTTTTATTCATTTATTTTATATTTAATTTTCTCAAAGGAGAAGAAGAAGAAGGAGAAGAAGAAGAAGAAGACGAACAATTTCGTTCACGCTTTATTTTGTTCTATTTTTTTCTTTTGTTCTTATCTCTTCAATCTTCTTCCTTTGTTTATTCGCTCGGACTACGATATATCGTTTTATTTATTTATTTATTTTTTTTTCCATATATTTTATATTATATTTATGTATATATATTATCTTTCGAGACTTAAATACTTTTTTTTGTGCGACTTAGCGTTTCCATCCCGCTCCTCTTTACCGGTCGCCAAAATTCATTCTCTTTCTCTATTTTTTTTATTTATTTCTTTCTTTGCTTTGTTTGTTTTTTTTTTTTTTTTTTTTTTTTTAATTCCTCAAGATTCTCTCGGAATATACAAATACGTTTGCTCGAGGACCCATACATAACTTTTTCTTTATTTTATTTGTATTTTTTTTTTTTATATATATATTTCTCTTTTTTGTTAAACTTCTATTATTTCCCTTTTTATATTTTCTGTTTTTTTTTTTTCTTTTTCGATTTATTTGGATAAACCGGCCAAGATTAGCGGGACGTTTCGGACTGATTTTGGAATGAAATCAGTACCGTATATGTATATACTTATTTATATGTAAGTGTTTGTGTGTGTGTGATTTGACTGGAGTGTAAAATGCGTGGGTTTTACACGCGTCGAATATTCGTACTTTGCATGAATATGTTAATGTGTTTATATGTGGTTCCCAATTTGTGAGAACACGCCCCACACACAGGTGAAGGACAATTTAATTTTTTAATAATTCGGGAATGAGTTATATTAACAATGAATTTTTGTTGTTCCTAACTTTTGTCTTGTTTTAAATTGTCTTTTTGTTTTGTTTCACGAATGCCACATGTTCTTTGTAAGCTCGTTTTAAATAAATTTTTCGAATAATAAGGAATTATTTGTTAAAAGGGTTTGAAAAGGGAGTAGGATTTTCGAGATTTTTGGGAACCACTGGTTTATGGTTTAATATAACCTTTGTGTAAATGTGTGCGTGTGTGTAAGTGTATTTACGTTTAATAATTTGAATACCTTGCCTTTCGCACGGCACAAGGAGGTACTCTAATAAAATATAATTAAAAGTCCATGGCAGTATCCACGATTAGCGTTACTTTCAAAACTCGGAAATCGTGCTGCGCAGTTACGTCCTTTTTATTTATTTTATATTAATTAATTAATTAATTTAATTAATTAATTCTCTTATTTTTCTTATATCATTCGAGATTAGTTTAGTTTTTGTTCGCTGCTTTTTTTTTCTTTTTTTTTTTTTTTTTCGTTTTCGGAGCCTTTTAAAATTTATTATGATAAATTTAGTATATACACAGGATATACACGCGACAGGAACAACTTCTCTTTGTCCAAATTTTTCTTATTTTATATTATTTCACTTTTTTTTTTTCTTCTTCTTCTTTTTTTTTTCTGCTTGCGAGCATCATTTAGTTCGCCGATCGTTCTCATATAAAAAAGTAAGAGAAAGAAGTTCCGAGTACATTTTCTCCTTTTCTTTAATTAATACGACTTATTTCTTTTTTTTAATTTCTCTCTCTCTCTCTCTCTCTCTCTCTCTCTCTCTTTCTTTCTTTATATTTAATTCATTCAAATCGTTTTGAAATTTTCTTAATGATTTTCTTAAGGCTCGAGAGAAGGCAACACCATAAGGGACTCCGAAATTATCAAGCAGCTCGATTTCCTTGTTCGACTTCGTGCGCTCAAAGAGAAACAACACGTACAATAAAAAAAGATCCTTTTTTTCGCGGACTAGTTACTCGGTATGGGCTGGGGTTAAAGGTTTATATGAATTGAATGGGATTGGTTTTGGGGTGGTGGTTGGGGCGGGGGGTGGGGTGTGGGGGAAATAATAAGAACGGTACGGTGCTTCGATGTAAAACTCTTTTCTTTCTTGTTTCTCCTTTCGTTTCAATTTTTTGTTCTTTTTGTTCTTTTTGAACGAGAAAAGAAAGAAGATTCTCGAACGAGTGGTATAAGAATGACGGAATTTTTTTTTTTGGGAGAGAAGGTTTTGGGTAATCGGGGAGGGGACGATTGGTTTATCTTTTTCTTTCTACTTTGGTTGTTTTGAAATTATTTTCTAAGGGAGAAGGGGGAGTTATTTTAGTTGTTATTATTATTGTTGTTGTTGTCGAAGCACTCGTATTTACTGACATCATCCTCTATCGACCGCAGTTCTGTTTCTACTGTGCCACTTGCACTCGAGGATTCTCATGTAGGTCCTCCTGAAGGCCGCGTTACACAAAGCGTAGCACATTGGATTCACAGTACTGTTGATGTAGCAAAGGTAATAGACAAAGTCCCACAATTGTTGTGGTATATACCAGGTGCAGGCGGTGATTGATTTAAGGAGGACGAGTATGTTATACGGTGTCCACGTTATTATGAACGCTAAAAGTATCGCAGATAATGTTTTAGCTGCTTTACTGTCTGCCTTTTTCTCTTGAATTTTCTTCTTTTTCTTTTGATTTGGTTTATTTTTATTCAATATACCCTTACTGGGTGGTACTGTCTTTGGTATATTTTTAGCGTTCAATGGTATCCTTATATCTGGCATCTGCGAGGGTCGCCTAATCACCGAGGAAGGACTTGCCAATGTTTCCTCATCTTCGATCGTACTGTGCAACTGAAATGTCACCGAATCCTCGTGGTACATCTTTATACTTGGCCGTACTTCGGTGTACTTGCTACCGCCATTACTCTCCCTCGTTGGAAGATTTATCACGATCGTGTATACCTGCGATATAATCAAAAAATTAAACTACGATTAATATTATTATGTTTTATAGTTTTTGAAAATATTTTTCTATATATATATATATATGTTATCAATAACGTTAGAGATATTTGAGCCGTTTATTTTGAAAGTGGCATAAGTCATTTTTTTTTTTATTGAAAATGAAAAGATACCGTAATTATCTTATTATATGTAATTAGTGTTGCCATTAACTCGGTTTTTTTGAAAAAGTGACTTATGCCACTTTCAAAATAAACGGCTCATTTATATAATTATTTTCCTTAATTATTATTTATTTATGCAAACGTCACGTATAGGGGTTGTTTTCCCGTGCGACGGTATCGAGGTGTACGAACGAATTTATATGAAACGATATTCGCATAAGCGAGTAAGGTTTAACTGACAATGATTTGATTTGTTTTGTATCGATTAAAATGATGTTATTTATGAGAATTGGATATAACACAATGCAATTTTCTCTCTCCTACCTATTATCTACAATTATTTATTTATTTCAAATCGGTTAAAGTATATATATATATATATATATTTGACTTTTCTTTGTATAAGTTAATTCGTAAAGAAATATATATTATATATTTCCTATCTAATAAAAGTTTTATTTTTTCGCAATTAAACTTGGCATGGCCAATCTTTATGTAGTTTTTTTTTTTTTACGTAACAGATAAGAATACGGTTTATCTATTGGAGTTTTATTTCTCGCAAATGGTTTGTTTTAAAGGTAAGAATAAAAAAAAAAAACAAAAAAAAAAAAAAAAAAAAAAAAAAAAAAAAAATGGAAAGAAGAAGAACTCGTAGGAAAAGTCGGTAAGAAAAATTTATTAGAATGCTAAGGACGCTGATCGATCGTTATTAGCTTAAACATTTTTATCGGAAACTCGAGAGTACCTTCCCTTGGTCGCGTCCCATCGCAAATATTCAATATTACGATGAAGGCAACTACGATGTTGCAAGAGAGAAAGAAAAAGGGAGAGAGAGATGACTTGTTTTAGCACTTAAATTAAGCTACGAACGAGAAGTTAATAATCCGTTTCGATCGATAATCGTCTAAGTAAACAGATTCGTTGGTCAATATATATTCGTAAACGGACGAATCGTTGTTTAATATACCGTTAATAGTCTAATAAATTTATACATCGATTAGATTCCCACTCGGATAGATAATTAACAGATCGATGCTTGACCATAACCTAGGAGACTAAGGGATATTTGTCCAATATATTTTTTTCTTCATATTAATCGTGTAATATCTCGACATTTTGTATATTCAAATAATTTCGATATTAATCATCTATTTTATAAAGGACAAGTAATTTCCGTTCAAATTATCATTTAGATTGAAAAAAGTAAATAAATCATATTAACGTCATTGCTAAATCATTTTAATTAATCGATCAATCGTTTATTTTCATGATTTATAATAATTTTCTTGAAAAAATTATATAACCGAATATGAAATATAATAAAGACAGAGTAGAGATTTGTTTTTACCGATTCGTGGATTCCATTTGCCATATATATATATATATATTTGTTTTTATTTAGAATTATTGAAAAAAAGAAGAAAATATAGCTTTAAGTATGTGTGAAGTCGAACAAGGAACACCTATTTTTATCATTTTTGTAATTAATTTATCAAGAATATATATATATAAATTTACTTTCTCAAAAAGTAGAACCTATCATACCAATTATCGGAATTTCTATTTTTTATTCGTTAGATATATCCTATCGGAATAAGATTGACTCTAGAATGAAGAGAATAGCACGTGTATTTTTTGTGAATTTAAAAAAAAATATATAGAATTGTTTGATGATAATTGAAAAAAATGAAAAAAAACATACGGAATCGCTAGAGATGCTTTTGGTCGAAAGTTCCCGGACACGAGCGGACCTTTTTGAATCCGCGTGTTCAGTGATGCCAGTCGACCTTTCCATAGCCAATGTCGTCGTCGTCGAATGCATACCACTTAGCGAATCACATCTCGAAACCGTGCTAGTCAATGGCGTTTCCGCTGAAAGTGGCGTCAATGTGTCCTCGTTACCATGAAGGGTGCGACTGCTTTCCGGTCCACCAATCTCTTCGTCCTCCTCTTCGTCTTCACGACCACTGTGCCACCACGCAATGCACCATAATTTCAGCCACGTCCACGAAAATGGCCTGTGTTTCTGGATAATTATAATTTTGTGTTACTCGTTATTACATGAATATACATTATTCCACCATCAATTTCACGAACATTATTAAATTACACAGATATAATGTGTATATTGTTATTTAAATTGTTATTATTATTATTAGGGATATTTATTTATATAGTATTTAGGGATATTATTGAAATTTACTATAAAGGATTATTTTAGATTAATTTTTTTTGTGAATATACTTTCGATGATTTCAAATAAAGCAAAATTAAGGAGGCTCGTAAGAAAAGCAAAAAAAAGACAAAAGGAAACAAATGTTTTTGGTCATAACACGATTGATTAAATAAACAGTTTATTTTTTAATTTGAAATACAAATTCTGACGTTTTTTTTTTTATTTTTCTATCTCGCTAGAATTCTATTTGACTTTAATTATAATGGAACGAAAAAATAGAAATGTTTAATTTATTATATCAAACAGAAGAAAAAAAATGACGATTATCATATAGTATTCTATGAAATAGAATAAAAACTAAATAATAATAAATTATTCTATATATAACAATCTCTAATTATATATCTATATATATTTTTCAAAATGAATTTGTTAACAATACGAGCGTAGTAACGATAATTGGAGTAGACCATTAATTGTAACAATAACAATTAATTAATATCAATCTTGTATATATATATATATAATTTGATATTGATAAAAAATAAAAGAGAAAGAAAAACAAGTTGGCAATTTTCGGGATTGCTCGAGGGGATGAAATAAAACCGGGGATGAAAAAAAAGTATTTTCGTAAAGAAAAAAAAAATATGAAAAAATATAAAATTGATCGTCCAGTTTTTACCAGATGAAAATAGATTAATTTTTATCGTTAAATCCGAGGGGATTGGCTACAATGCGGCATAATAGTCGAGATGACGTTAATTCCGAGATCGTTGTAACAAAGTTCCCGGCGTGGTCCTTAATAGGATTTGAACTGTGATAGACATGAAGTTCACACAATCGGGGTCACTCTCACCAAACACGAAGCTTTCATCTAACTTCCGAGAATTTCCTTGTTGGTATTTGTCGATACTAAAGTATTGCAAGGACATTGAAAGGAATGTTTGAAAATTTGTCATTTTTTTTCTGTTTTTTTTTTTTTGAATCGACAAATACATCCACACGATTTTTTTATCTCTCTTTTTTTTTTTCTTTTTTTTTCTCGTTCTATGACTAATTTAGTTATATGTAAATTTATATTATATGTATATATGTGTGTGTGTGTATTGTACGTGTGTAGCAGGTACGTGTTCCTTTAATTTAGAAGTCTTTTTTTCTGGGTGGGGCCGGTCATTATAGTGTGCGCCTGTGCAACCCTCCTAGTGCACAGGACACACCATGCGCCGTACTTTACTATGACTATGCATTCGACGATTTACGATATGACTTAACTATTAATTCTCTTTACCTGTTTTAATTGCTATGACTAAGAGAGAGATACTTAAATAATTTACTATTCGTTCAGAAAAAAATAATAATAATAAAATAACAAGACAAGGGGGTGGGAAAAGTTATAGTATTAACAAACTCAATTTATTTCTAATCATTTATATAATAAATGAAGATAAACTTCGAATCGCGTACGTATAATATATCATTTTGAAATTTTATATTATTTTGATTAAAAATTAAACACTCTCTCTGTTTTTGTTTTAACTATATTATTAAATTGGTTAATTTTCATTTTTAAATTGTTAGAAATATATACTATCTCATTTTATATTGTTTGTGAAATATTTTGTTCTTAGAAGTTTTTTAATAGATAAGACAGAGAAAGAAAAGGGAAAGGGTATGCTTACACCAGCGTATTCAGGATAATGTTTCTCGATGTAAGAAGCAGCTAGATGTTGAGCGTGTACGTCATCAGCACCTGTACTAGACTCACTTCGAGGTCTCTTGCATTCTTCCATATCTAAGGCCTCGTCACTAAGCAGATATTTCGAAAACTTATATAGTTCGATTTGATAAACTATACCATTATTTTGTAATTGCATTAGATACGAAATATTAGATAAGTTGTTTTGTGTGGATATATATATATATATATATATGTGTATATAATTTTATAATTATTAATAAATTATGTAAAAGAATATTTTTTGTAAACATCAAATTCAAAAGAAAATGATTCATCTCAAATAATTTTGATTTTTATTTAAACAATAAAAAAGTGAGGATAATTTGACAAGTTGATACGTTTCAAGTGAAAAGTTGAATTAATGTTGAATATTTCGTACAAAATGGATTTAAATAAAATCTTGCATAGATATTTTGAATAATGCAAGGACCCATTGTTACAGGGATTAATTTGATATCGTTCATTCTCTGTTGATTAAATACGAATAAAAATGTTTTATTTATATATATACGTATATCTTATAATTATATTCAAATCAATATACGAGTGAAATAATATATCTCTCGTGTATAATAAATATATTTATTAAGATATTTAACGCATGAATCTCAACTTGCCCTGGGGTCAAACGAATTGACCGATTTTGAAATTATTAAATAAACATTATCGAATTTATTTTCTATGCGAATATTTTCAGATAAAAATTTCACAGAAATACATATATATATATATTTCAACATATTTTTGACCAAACAATTTTATTGGGCAAAATTAAAAACTGAAAAATATATCAACTTGTCCCGGCAATTCAATTTTATTTAATGAAAAGTAAATTAATTGCGAAGATTAAAATCCTTGTTAAAAAAAAAAAAAAAAACAAAACAAAACAATTTTATTTTCAACTAATAATTTTTATCAAATCCTTTTGTTCATTTTCATTCACAACCGAAAAGTACACATTTAAAAAAAAAAAATATATAATTAATTAAATATTAGAAAAGTTATTGATTATATATGTATACATATATATAGTATACGAAACGATTAGATCGATCATGGAGAAGTGCCACAACAACCTGGAGTTACTGCGTTTGCTTGCATCCTGTTTCCCGGCTTGAAGATTCGGTAAATCCCTCTGCCTTTTCTTCGTTTCCTTCCATATTCTCCAATAAAGGGCACTCATCACGGTGACTGGCACATAAAATGCAGCGATTGCCGTGCCGACTGTGATATAATGATTCGTTTCGATGAACTGAATGTAACAGGCATTGATTGGCACAGTTCTCTGACCCTCGATGTAAGGCCAAGCATAAATCCAAGGTGGCCAAAGAAGTAAAGAAATACCCCACGCGCATCCTAAACATTCAAATAAAACAAAGGAAAACAAAAATTAAAGTAAGAGAAGAAAAAAAGGAACAGAAGGAAAGAGAACAAAAAATTCAATCTAACATAAGAAACGTTTTTGTAACTTTTTAACGAGACGAGAGAGAAAAGAATTTCTTCTTTTCTTCTTCTACTTCTTCTTCTCCTTTTTTTTTTCTTTCTTCTATTTTCCTTCTCGAATTTTTATTTTAAAATAAATGTTTCTATCCTCTTTTTAACTTTTCAATTTTTCGCAACAATTCTTTTATATTTTTTTTTTTTTTCGGTTTCCATTAAAATTTTTTAAAAGCTTTTATTAGATAGGATAGATATATATTTTTTATCTCAAAGAGTTTCTCTATTCTCCTATCGAGAGAGAGAGAGGACGCATGTGATATTTTAGTTAATTTTTCTTTTTTTTTTTTTAATTATTTTTTAATTATTTCACATATTACACCGAGCGAATAAGAATAGAAATTAGAAAAACTAAGGGGGGGGGGGGAAGCATTTTCTTTTTCGTTCCGACATTTTTCTCTTTCAAACGCGAATAAAAACCTTCCTTTAATCGCGAAGATCTCGTATGAGAGTAGGGGTCTCCGTTAAAAGCATAGAAAATACCTTATAAAATATGTTTACGTGTTGAAGAGAAAAAGAGAGAAAGAGAGTCAAAAACAGAAAGAGAAAGAGAGAGAGAGAGAGAGAGAGAGAGAGAGAGAGAGAGAGAGAGAGAGAGAGAAATGACGGTTTGTTTACCGGTAAAGCTGTTTTAACGAAACAGTTTAATTCCGCTGTTCGTTTGTCGTTTCGAAACGCTGCTAACTACAGCAAATGAGAGAAAGAGAGAGAGAGAGTAAGAGGAAGAGGGAGAAAGAGGGGGATGTTTTGCACGAGATTTCTGCTAATACGAGAAAATTAGTACTTTCGACGCTTCTCTTTTTTTTTTTTTTTTTTTAAACATTTTTTTTATTACCTTCTTCAAAATCAAGGATACGAATGAAAGAACTAGAGTCTACTAAATATTTCGTTCTCTAACGAATAAAAAATTAAACGAATAGGAAAAAGAAAGAGAGAGAGAGAGAGAGAAATTGTATAATTAGTTCAACTTAAGCGACTTCGTTTTATAAGAGAAAAACGAAAGACGTTAAAATTTTCGAGAATCACCGGAATAGAATTTCATGGCAACCGGGACAACCAACGAACCAACCAACCAACCAACCAACCAACCAACCAACCAAACAGTCCTTTCCTCAACAGGTTTGCACGAGGATTACCGATTAAATGGACGGTTAGTACGAATAGGATTAACCTCTTAGGAAGACAAATTCATTTTGTAATCTTAATTAATCGGAAGTTGAAGAAGGGACAACTACCGGAAAGGACGGAAATAAGGATGGATGGATCGAATAAAATTTTTTGATACGAATAATTTTATTAAATGTAATAATGAAGAATCAGGAATATCGGAGGGGAAAATTCGAACGACGAATTGTTGTTTCGGCAAACTTGACTTTTTCTCTCGTGAATCATTAACTCGGTTTGATTGATTAAACTAATCGGAAGAATATTGAACGTTCTTTGAGATATAAAAGAAAAATGAAGAAGAAAAACAGAAGAAAGATTGTATAACGTAATCGAAATGAATCGGATTGACGTTAATTTTCAAATTTCCTTTCATTTATGCGTGGGACGAATGAAATAATATTTCGCGGATTCTCGAGTTTTGGAAATATCAAAAGTTCAATTGTTTCCTTATTCATCAAAAATATTTCACATTTTAATAATAACCATTACGCGTAAATTCTTCATAACTCGATTTGAAATTCTTCAATTTCATTTATCGTATATGAAAAATTTACAAAAAAAAGATCACATTTATTACCATTCCAATTTATTTGTTTGTACAAAAATTTCGTACAAATCGAATAAAAATTTTTCCAATCGTGTTTCTCGAATAGAAATAATTTATCTATGGAAATTTAACCATTTCATTATTAGCGTTACCATCCAAATCAAAGGTACCCGTATGAACGACCAAACCATCGACCCATATAAAAGTCCTACCAAATACAATGATGACGTAACGAAAGATTTAAATTTCATACGCATCTTCGATTAACGATATCAACAAAATTAAAATTATAGATTAGAAAGATAATAATATAATTACAAAAAAAAAAACTTACCTATCATAAAGGCAGCTTTGAAGGTCGTCCTCTTTGCTCTGTATGTAAGCGGTCTTGTTACCGAGAAGTATCTATCGAAGCTGATGATTAGAAGATTGAGTACTGACGCGTTGCTCGCTAGATAATCGAGTGCAAGCCACGTGTCACAAACGTGGGGACCTAATGGCCAATACCCTAACACGGTGTAAACCGTGAATAGGGGCATCGAAATGAGACCTATTGCGAAATCGGCTACCGCGAGACTGAATAGAAAATAATTCGATATCGTTTGTAGTTGTTTGTCGATTTTAAACGATATCATAACCATAATGTTGCCGACCACCGTAACGAAACTGAGAACGATCGCGACCATCACTATACCAACTCTTTCCCATATCCCATATTGATACGGTTCACCACCGCAATCAAGACCGTTGCTAGAGTTGTAGCTGTCGTTGCTGGGTATTTCCGGCGCCCAAGTTATATTCATGTCTGTTGGACTCTCCCGCACGAGCACTATGTCACTCGTGGACGCGCATCAACCTTCAACAAAATCGATTTTCTTTTACTCCCATTTGTCTTCTTTTTATATATATATATATACATATGTGTTAGCGTGAAAGACCGAAATTGGAGAATGTGAAGATTCACATGGTTGTTTGGTGTATGTCCGAAATATTAATATTAAGTATGAATACTATTATTCGATCTTTCACCGATGTATTTGGTATATGTTGACAAGCGACCATGTGAATCTTGATATTCAATATTATATATATGTTACGGTTAATGTTGAGAATTCAATGCATACGAAAATTGGGCAATGTATATTTTGTATATTACAATATAAAAAATATTATTTATATATTACATATATATATATTATTATTATTAAATATATATAATAATAT